ATTGATCCTTGAAAATATGATTTTCTAAATAGGGAATACGATTCCCAGTTGAAGGGAGAGATAAAATTTTGAAATTCGCCCCTTATTCCGCAATCTTTGGGCGTCCATAGGATGGATCTCTCATCCCTTCACTAGCCACATGAATGGTAGCAATATGGGAGGTTGCAAGGTGAACCTACGGCTATGTACATGGTTGATAATCACTCTAGTATACAGCTGGTGAGGCAATTAGAGATCCAGATACACACTCTGGATATCTCCGCCCTTAGTTCTATAGCAAACCTTAACAGTTACAGACAGCTTTGTCCGGAGAAAGTCGAGGCCTTTTCTATTCTTCGCCAATTTGAATACAAGGTATGCTTCGTAAATTGTTCTTGGGGACAGCAATCTTGTCTCTATCTTGCCATGGATTTCGAGCTAGCAACTGTCTAAGAGCTCAGCCACCTCTGAGAACCTGAAAATTTAAAATTCAGAGAGGGAGAGAGAGAGAGGAAGAAGGTTGAGCAGTTGAACATGATCTCCGGCAATTGGTAGCAACAATCTCTGTGGCTGCTGCTCTTAGTCAGATCACAAGATGCATTCTTAGTTAGATCCAAATGATTTGTGAAATGAAAATTGGAACTACAGTTAGTTAGATTACAGAGCATTCAAATTACATGAAGAAAACGACTTCAGATTTGTTTCTAAGATATATTAGTCAGACCTGTTCAGACTTCAGATCGGAGCTATTCCTTCCGGTGGTTGTCCAGGTGAGTGGCTGCTGCTCCCTCCGGAGGTTGTCTAAGTCGGTGGATGCTGTGGTCGCCAATCCTCCTTCCATGTGAGTTGTTTCTGTTGAAAACAGAACAGAATAAACACTTGTAAGAAGGAGAAGACGAAGAAGAAGAGGAGAAGAGAAGAAGAATGGAAGAGTAAACCTACCACCGGAGCTACTTGTAAGAGGAGAAGAAGAAGAGAAGAGGAAGTCAGAAACGAACCACTGGTTCTCTCCTTGTCGCTGCCAATGGAGGAAGGGTTCGGTGTGTGGTTGGGTTCGGTGGAAGGAGGACAGCTCCAAGGAAAAATCACTCAAAAATCTCTCAGTATGAGGTTTCCTGGGCTAATCATGCAACCAGTGGGTCATATTGACTCCAGCTCGTATCCGGTTGAACCGTTGAAACCAAGTTTATGCGCATTTGACCGTTAACATTTGGAAGATCGACGTGGTTGAATACGATTAGCGGGTTCACACGCCCATTGCACCCACGGGTGCACAGAACGTGGATTCAGGGTTTGGGCAGGTTATCAAATTTAGAAATATCTATGACGTGTTCAAATTCTATTTAAGGGACAAACGATGTGGCTCAGCTCCACCAGTCAACATCTTAACAATGATCTTTAAGTCAATCCCTATTCACGTCTCAGATCTCTGTTTTAGCTTTAGTTATGGTTTAGGAGACCTCTCCATATATATATATGTATACTAGCGAGGACCCATGCCATGCACGGATTGTTAAGTTAAAGATAAACAATAGAAACATGTAATATTATATAATTATTTTATATAATAATTAACATTTTATATTTTATATAAGACTTTTAATTATTTTTTTATAATAATAAAATAATAATAATTAATTTTAGATATTGTTATTTATCAAATTTAGGGATTCCCCATTTCCCTGAACAAACCCCATCCATGTTAACTTAAATCCATGAACAATAGGCCTTTCATTGGTGTTCAAATAATGATTTGGTGACAAACACCCTCCAATTTGTAAGGTAATAGGGTTAGAACCCAGAACTCAGGCAAAAAGTCTGCAGATATAACATTGAACCATACATTTGGAATACCTCCTGTACATCCTGTTAAATTTATAGGGAGATATTACCAATGTGCAACTGAATTCCCATATTTTCATAGTGTGTGTAGAATTTTTACTTGTAGAGAATCTCATACCTAAGGTTAGCCTTTTCTTTGTTTTTCCTTGTGAATCATATTATTGTTGCTTTTTATTCAAATGAAATGTTATTTACCAAAAGCCATATAAATGTCAAAGTTAGGGATGATGATGGTAGAGATAACTATATCTCTTCCGAATAAAACTATTGCCATATATTAGGAACATCTTCTCATGAATGATAATGAATATATTCCCAATGTGCAACTGTAGTGTCCTGTGAGTATGAATGTGAAAACAGTTTGTGGGTAGGAGACCCGAGCTTGGTAGAGACAGTAAGGCAGATTCAATTTTTTAATTTTTATTTTAAAGAATTAAGGTAGATTAAGATGAAATCCGAATCAGATATTCTGGATCATATTTTGAATGGATGTGAGAGGGTCTAATTAATCCGAACCCAATCCAATTACGGACCTAAGCATCTGAGTTAGCCGGTACCTTCTTGTTGTTTCTAAAATTGGACTAAGATTGGATTGAGTAAGTTTATAATTTATTTGTGGATTCGACTATGATACCGAAAAAATAATAATAATAAAACTCATACCTGATTTTGATTGATTGCCACTTTTATAACAGCAGTTGATTGGTTGCCAATTTTGAATATGCATTATTTTATCATCCTAAGAACTGTCATGTTGGGATTAGAGGAATTGACACTGAAATTTCTGTTTGATTGACTGATTTTGATGATTTTTAAGAAATCTGTCAAAATTTGATTTTTGAAATCCACCCTTTTTAGGGATCATATTTTTTTTATGATTTCATGATGTTTAGCTAATTCTAATTTTTCGAGGATGACATAGCATCAAGGAAATCAGTCTGGAATAAATCATTTTTAATTTCATAAAATTTAAGCACCTTAAACCTCCCCTGAGGTTTCTTCTAAATACTAAAGCCTTCCCTCATTTTGTTTTAAGGACTTGAACCTCCCATGACAGAATAACACACAGTTACATTTCACGGAATCAATGAAAGACTCCTTTGCCCTTAAACATTCTTTAAATTTTCAAAACATGTAAAAGGCCGATTCAAAATTGTTCATACAATGTAACTAATAAAAATAATTTTGTCTTGATCACACAATTCACCATTGATTCGACATTAGCAAAAGGGAGAAGCGAAGGGAGCCATGGTTTACGGTCTTTTCTAAACAAGTTGAAACATATAAAGTGTTAAATTTCATTCTGAGCTTATTTTTATTGTCGGTTTGTGAATATGGAAAGACAATGAGACTCGGTTTCTAATTAATGTGACCGTTTGAGCATTCGGAGCTTGATCCTTGATAAGTTTCTCTTGTTTTCAATTTTCTGTTTGTTTTAGTGTAGGAGTGCCTTTTCAAACAAAATCTATATCTATACTACTTTAAAAAGTATGAATAGCCACAAGAATATTTCTAAAATTTTGTGATGATAAAATTGTTTATTAATAAAAAATGAAGGTAAATAGGGTAATTAATTATTGATATTAAATGAGTTGAAAAGAGTTAATTTTAAGATATTCAATGCATTCATTTATCTCCCATTAAATCCAATATTTAAGGTATTAATTTGCATTCGCCTTCATTGAATCTTATATTTAAGGCTTCTTTATTTCTTCTCATCATTAAATTCTATAATTAAATACATACAGAATAAATTAATAATTTCAATAACATAAAAATTTATACTTTTAAAAGCTACCTGAAAAAAAAAATAGTGTTTTTATCTAGGTAGTGGTAACAAATTAAACCATTTGGGTCAAAGGGGCCAATCCATTTTGCCACAATTAAATAATAAAATTCAAAAATATATAAAATGTAAAAAATATAGAAATTAAAAAAATAGGAACATTTTTAACATCATATATTTGACATATTAAACAATAGTAAATATAATAAACAATGTTTTAAAAAACGATCCAGAGGCGAACCCACTTTTGCCTTCGGGTCACGGGTCATTAGTTCGACTGTCAAGGTCAAACGAGTCAAACCACTTTACGTCAACACTATGTGTGTGTGTGTGTGTAAAATTATATATTTTATCAATAAATAGTATAATTATATTTTACATATATTACATATAATATATGTATTATGTTACATTTATTTATGTTTTTTAATTCCATTTTAAATTTTTATTTATAAAAAATATTAAAAATCGCAATTTGGGGCCAAAAAAGGCTTTTTTCACGAAAATAGAAAGACAAGGCGCATAATTCCCTTGGGACATATAGGTCTTGAAAAGTTACTCAAAATAAAAAAGAAACCCCACAATCGAATATCGGAGTGCAAAGTTATGGCTTCCAAAAGTTTGCACATAATTAAGTGTGCAACTTGTGACTTGGTTACTGGGTTGAATGGGTCAATGTTTGAACCGCCCAAGTTAGACGGTTATTAACCAAAATAGGAAGTTTCTACAGAACCAAACCTAGAATCACAGCCGAGTGACGATTCGAACGATTCAATCGATCAGGTCAACAACAAGTTGAAAACATTGATGATAAATAAGAAATGTTTTTATTAATGATGGAAATGAAATGTAAAATTTAAATCCAATTGGAAGTAAAACTATTTTCCTATTATCTCTCATTAAATCCCATATCTAAGGTATATTCTCTTATTAAATCCTATATTTAAGATATATTTTTCTCATCATTAAATTATACTAATTAAATCCACAGATATAAAATAAATATTTTGAAAACAAAACCATTATCTACCCTCTCGGTGGTGGGTGAGCAATTCAACCATTTGGGGTCAAATCCATTAATAAATAATGCCATAATTAAATAATAAATAAAATATATAATACAAAAAATAAAAAGAACCGGGCATATCATTAATATTGTATGTTCATTATATTGAACAAAAATAAGTTTGAAATGTAAGAAGAATTTTTGTAAATGATGAAAATGGAATGCCAAAATTAAAATCAACCTAAAATGAAATTATGTCATAGTCAAATAATAAAATTTTTAAAAATAGAAAATACAAAGAATCACAAAAATAAATATTATACATAAGATATAATGTTACATATTTATAAAAAATAAAATATTTGATACATATATAATATTATACATTCATTATATTAAACAAAAAAAATATTATACATAAGATATAATTTTATTAATAATGGAAATGTAATACAAAATTTAATGTCAACCTAGAAATCAAACTATTTTTCTTTTTGGGTTGTGGGTTAGTGGTTTGGGTCAAATGGATTAATCGATGATATAATAGTTCAATAATGAATATTTAAAAAATAATAGAAAAATGCAAGTAATCAAAAGAATATATAAAAAATTATATATTAATTATGTCAAACAAAAATTAAGTGTGATAAGTAAAAGTTATGTATATATGTAGAAGAAATGTATAACTTAAAATTGATCCAAATAAAAAGCTATTTTCTTATTTAAATGGTGGGTCAATGATCCAACTTTTTAAAGAAATTCATGATGTCAAAATTGAATAATAAATATTTTTAAAAAAAAAAGATAGAACACAAAAGATAAAAAAAAAATATAGAGTTTTGTCAAAGACATTTTGGAACATTTCTAATGTTATATAATCATCATATTAAATAAAAATAATTGTTAGAATAAAAACTATTTTTATTTAAGAGAGAAATGGAATACAAAATTTAGTAATAGTAATAATTGATACAAGTATTTAAATTTATTTTTAACCATATTTTTAATTTTATTAATTTTCAATTTCTATCATAATTATGATATATCTAAAATTCAAATAATCAATATGAAAAATAAATATTTATACATACTTAATAGAGGAGCTATATCGATTTAACTTTGAAAAGGTATCGTATTGACTGAGAGAAAGTTGAAAGAGTTAACAAAAACAATATGAGACTAAACCCAAGAATTTTTACTACGATCTTTGAGGATTCCTTTATACAAAGCCATCCGATTTACTATGTTACGAATCTCAGATTTCCAAGCATGATTAAAGTCCAAAATCCCATATCCATTCATTCTACAAAGCAAGGGCTTAATCCTCAAAAAATGGCAGCGTATTTCTTGTCAATGAATGCTGCTCAACGCATACAGAACTCTGAACCTTCAGATTTGTTGTTGATCAGGTCTGCTATTTGGACTTGTGGCCGAACATCAATTTGATGAGGAGAG